ATGGTATTTTGACCGCCATTCTTCTTTCTTTCTTTCTTTCTTTCTTGCTTTTGGCAGAAACCGAAGGGCGAATATAATTATCGGCAGAGGAAAAACTGAGTAATTTTTTTCTTTTTCGAGGAAACGAAAGTTGGAAGTTGTGGAAATTTGATAGCGATGATCATTAAGTTTGAAAGGTACATACAGTTTGCCCATTTAAAGATAACGTCCAATTAAAGAGTTCTTCTTAGCTTTAACGGGCTAGGACGATAAAGGTTCCGTGATGCGCAATGTTTAGAACAATTGTCCTACGTGTACTGCATCACGGAAGAAGAAGAGAGTAGTTTATGCTCGATCGGAAAAAATTGATGGAAAAAAAGAAATTTCGTTGGAAATGCTTGCACGTCGGATCCAGGCCGACGTTTGGTTGCAATTAACACGTCCAACCAAAGAGAGTCGAGCAAGTACGAGGATCGAATTTGAGTAGGAAATCCACGGTAATCCCTCTCCAACGAAACTAGCGTAAGCTCTTCCCCGATAAAGTCAACCACCAGTCTCCTCGTTTCGTTATTTCCACGCCTAATCCGCTAAAACCGAGTGGAAATGGCGCTATGATCGTCGGGCAGACGCATCCACCCCGAGCGATCTTTTTTCCTCCTCCTTTTTTCCCCCTCCCTCCCTCCTTAAATGGCGAATCGTTCGAATTAGCATACGTAACGAGAGAAGAGGCGCGCGGGGGAATGGCGGAAAAATGGCCGGCCTCTTGCGGCGAAAAATCCGGACTCTCGAAGGCCGGTCGCGTGAACGCTTTTAACACTCGTACTGCTTTGGGGATATCGGGTACGTGGCGTGCATTCGGGCCAAATCTTGGGTGTAAAATTGTTATTCACGGTTCGGCTTCTCCGGTGTTTCGATCGGGTAATCTTGTGTGCCTGTGGAGAACGAGACCGGCCAATAAACGAGCCCTGTCCGCTCAAAACGATTCCAGAATCCGAAGAGTTCGTGTAATGGACTCGTCGATAAAAAAAAAAAGAGATATCGGCGTTGTTCTTGTGCAATGCAAGCGATCGACGCTGAGAATATATCAGTCGATCGAGAGAAATCGATGTCGATCGATTCTTTTTTTTGTTTTTAATTAACTTGATCCTCGAGCTGGATTAATTTCGATCAAATTGGAATTTCGAAAATCGTTTTTTCGAATATTTATACTCGTTGTTATGTCGCGAAATGGCTGGTTTTATTAATTTGTCAAACTGTTCAAGAATATTATTTTATCGATTGTCTTATCGTATCTGATAATGTATAAAGTATATTTAAATTTCACGTTATTCGTTAAAATAAATGAAAAAAATTTAATAAGCATTAAAAAAAATCATTAAAAGAAAGAATTTTTCTTGTGTGTAATCTGATATGGACGAACACATATCTCGTTTTAAAAATTTATTTTAATTACTTCGCTATCTCGTTATTTTATATAAAATCTATTTGGCACGATGAAAATCTCAAGAACAATTTTATATAGGTTAATATCGCAATATAGATAATTCTCCAAATTAACATCCATATAATTCCACTTTTTATTGCTTCTTCTCCCCTAAAAACTTCTCTTAATAGAGAATACGGTTACGAAGCTGAGTTAGCGTAACGAGATAAGCTCCACCAATGGCCCCGATTAACGTCTAATTAATATATCGGGTAAGCCGGCGCGGTATTTCGTGACAAAGCGTATACGGCTTTTTCTTTCTCAAAAGGGGATATCTGTTGCAGCCGTGTATGCATACTCACAACGGGTGGAAGCATAAATTGTGCAATATTACGGCAAGCAATGCATTTAAACGCGCAAAGTAAAGTTTCTAATTAAGGGCGCTCGAGGAAGAGGGCAAAGTACGAGAGATAAAGACGAAGAATCACGAAATATTACGAGCCGCGCCGAACGGATAACGAGCGTAACCGTCTCTGCGAATAAGCGCTTGCCTCTCCCCACTCCTCGCCTCCCGCTCTCTGTCTCGCCTCGTATCTTTCCTCCCTCCGTCTCTGTCGCGACCAGCCTCGAGTAGACTAATGAACCGTACACGACGCAATTACGTAGACGCTTCCACCGAGAATCTTTGCGCGTTCCCTTCGTGTTCTTCTTCGCTTCCTTTTACATTGGTTCCCTTGTTGGATTGTTGGCCGACAAAGATGAAAGACATACACCAATCGACAGGGCTCGTAAATTTAACCACGTCGCAACTAACGGACGTCGTTATCGGTATCGCGTTATCGCCGAGAGAGGTCTCAAGAGTCGCATTACTCTATGGATTACACGTCAAGAAGAAATGTAGAAAAATTAACGTTTTATGATTGTGAAACGTCGCCGTTCGATTCCGTTAAACTCAATTAAGAGTTAAGAGATTAATATATATATATATAAGTATTTCCGTATTATGTATATTTATTTATATGTTTTTATTCTCTGTACTCGTCGAATTCCGTTCGTATATCGTTCGAATATCGTTTGTTTTCCTTACAATATAAATATTTAAGTCGAGGAATAGAATCTTCTGTTATGGAACCTACCTCAATTCGATTCTTTCCCAAACGACTTGGCTCTCGGCCAACAACCAGTCGCCTTTTTCATCATCTTCAGAAGGAATCCTCTTACATGCAGTACGGTATCACGTTGTCGGTTCTCACTTTTTGCCAATGTTCGATCGTGATACACTCTTGTACTTGATCGAAAGTGCTTCTCTTCTCCCTATCCCTTTCAAGTTCCATTCGCTTTATCAGCACTCGAATTTGCATTCGTATGCTTGCTATGTTGACTCTTAGAGTTCTGGTTATTTTCATCGAGTCGTAAATAGATATATTCCTCGGGTTATTGCTCTGTCTGATCTCCCTTTATGGAGAGATTTTTTTTTTCTTTGTAATATTACTAACAGTTTGCAATTATTTTTTTACTTTTTATGTTTCTTTTTAGAATTTATTTTTAGAATTTATTTTCATATAAATATCTTTTTCATTATATTCGAAGTAATTATTTATTATTTTTATCTCAAATAAAAGTACTCGATACTTTTCAATCGATAAAAAGTTCGCGATAATAATAAAGTACGAAATTCATCGTTGATCCTATTGCGGTTGATATTTATGTAAATGATCGAGAAATTTTTGAGAAATAAAATATATTTACAAAATATTATAAACGTAAGTATTATCATAACACGTTATAAAACTTTATAATGATATTAAAAATCGATGTTATTCCTCTTTTTATTTTTTTGTATTTTTCATATTTGAAAATTATTCGAGATTAACAAGCATTTCCTTGTCAGTATATCTAAAGAGAATAAGATTCTATGAAAAAATTCCTCCTTCCTGTGTATAAATATTTAATATTCCAAAATGGCCATCTAACGTATGAAAGTATGGGTTATTCGAGGCAAGTTGAACGAAACAAGCAGTGAAAAACAACCCATCGAACTCCCAAAACCTGTTCTCGGTCCAGTCGATAACAAAGTTGCTTCGCCAAGAATCGATCGAACTTCCCCTTCCATAAGCTTTAACTATATTGTTGCACAGCAGATAGGAAGACTATACATAATACTTGTTTTTCACCATGAACCAGTTGAAATATGGTAATGTGATATGATAGTGAAATAAATTAATTGCAAATGCGTTAAGAGTTAATAAATTTATTTACATAAAACGAAACAGATATACAAAAATATCTTGCAGTTAAATAATACTTATACAAGTAACGTATAACCTATAAATAGTAAAGTTGATACTATTTAGTAGAAGATTAATCTAATTTCACTTACTTGATGATCTAGAATTAATAAAAAAGATATTTATATGTTTCGAACTTCGATAAGAATATTTTTGGTAATTTTAAAAATTTATACAGTGAATCTATATTACCAGTCAAAAATTTCGAATCGAAAAATATTTAACTTCAAAAATCAAATTAGAATTTGTTAACCTCAAAAAATTGTCTCGTAAAGAACTTATCGATATACTTAAAATTATTTTCAATAAAAAAAAATAATAATTTAATTCAAAAGTGATTTCAAATTTTTAGATGATATTATTTGATTTCATGATTGTCATCACTTGACCCATATCTGCTGACAGTCTCGTCCCGAGAGTCACTATTTTGCAATTGCTCATAAAACCAACAACTTGCATAATCGCTCGTTTTCTTGGATGAGTGTCGTTTCTATGATCCTACGTGGCTTCATTCATGTCAGGCTGTCATTTGACGAGAAATTTCGCACCAACATTGTGTCATGCTATATCTTGTTCTCTTCGCAGTGCGACGATGATTTATGTCGTAAGTATAATATGAACATTTTTTAGAAAACAGGAAAAGATAAATGATAAAGTGAACGTGTATTTACTCTTTAGATAATGAAGAAATAAAAAATTT